TTCAAAATCTGACCGTACGGATGTGTCCGGAATACTCCAAATAGTCGGAAACCTCTATTGAATCACCAAAAACGTACTCCAAATGGCTTCGATCTAGCCAAAACATTTTGTACGCCTCAGATCTGCGGCTGTACCTTCGCCGCAAAGCACTGGATCCCTCCTCTGGATGCTGACGTGGCAGATGACTATGCTGCCACATGGCGACCACTTGCTGACGTGACGATGGCAGACTGTCACGTGGCGCTGACGTGCACTGTCACGTGTCGCTGACCTGTCTGCCACGTGACAGTACGACTGGCATGCTTATGCTGACGTGTCCGATGACGCGGCTGCTGACGGGGCGCCCGTGGCCTGCGCGTGCCGTACACGCGCCTTTCCCCACTCGTCTTCTTCCTTCAGCCGCGCGTGGGGCGCACACGTGAGACTGGGCCGACGCGCCGACTGTCTTTACGGCGCGTGGGGGCGCGTACAGCGACTGGGCCTCACGCGCCTGCTTCAGGTGGCGCGTGAGGGCGCGTGCTAACTCCTCTGGGTGTCTGCTTTATATGGTTGGACTCCTCTTCTCGAGCCCTTGCTCCTGGTATGCTTAAAACTTGATTTTGAGCAACTTGATTTCTGGGCAGTTTCAAACAACACGCTGTTTTTGTTCCGAAACGCCACCAACGAGACTTTGATACCTTATAGAAATTATTCCATGCAGAAAAACACACCCACACTCAAGGAGACACAATATTTAACGTGGTTCGGCCTTAATGCCTACGTCCACGGGAGAGTAGCCGGTTATCACTATAACAATGGAGATATTACAGAAAGATTACAATAGAGAAGGAGCTCACACTCTCCTCACTCACCCACTCACCCGTCTCCCTCGCTCACACCGAGGGAGACGGTCTCTCCGCCTCACATATCTCACTCTCTGTGGCTTGCTCTACACTCACTCTGTTCTCCTCTCACCCATCTTCATTTATACACGTCAGAATGGTGGATGGAGGGACTGGCCAGCACATGGCCAGCTTGTGCCAACTCCTTCTTCACATGGCTAAAGGTTGGCTTCCTAACATGGCCAGCTCATGTAGCACATGGAGGATCACCCCTCACATGGGGTGATGATATTCCACAAATCATAGAAGAGAAAACAGGAAACAAGAAAAGAAAATTTGAATTCTTATGTTCCTTTCTTTTCCTCTTTCGGATGGTGGTTCTTTTCCTTGAATGGAAATTTTACTACTGTAAAAATTTAATTCTAATTTGGATTTTACTATTGATACTATATTTTAAGTTTCAGTACTGTATAAAATTTAGTTTTCATTGATTATGTATTGTATGTAGTTTTTGAAAAATGGATTGAAAGTTAGGAGCGGGTCCAACACTTGGCCAGAGGTGTCACCCGAACCCCTGGATGATTTTTTTAATTTTTTTTATTATAAGTATTAGATTTTAGGAAAAAAAATCAGCAACTGAACCCATTAAAATACAACTTTGAACCCATTAGTTTTCAGTCCCTAAACTTTGAACCCACCAATGAAAAAAGCTTACTTTTTGACTTTTGCCTACTTTTTGTTTAAAATATTTTATTTTTAAAGTGATTTTGTATTCTTGCTTTGGAGACCTCACGATTCTTGACATCTCTTTCTTTTGTTTACTTTTTGTTTAGAATATTTTATTTGTAAAGTGATAGAGCATTTGATAGTGTTAATAATGAACTTATTAAGCAACGATTTCAAAATATGAAATCTCATCGTGGTCAATTGTAGAAGCTCGCGTATTAGCATGCCTTTTTGTTTAAACAATAGTGTCAGTATATTGAAATATTTTTGTTTATAATTTTAGAATTTAAATTAATTTGTTAATTTTTTTTTTTCCATGGGTGATATAATGATTAATGTGAATTTTCTATAAGATATATGACATTTAAGTTTTTGATTGACACCACTGACAAAAATTCCTGGAGTTGCCACTATTGAAAGTGATTCAGATACATTAACCGATATGAGCCCTGATAATTGGTAGTTCTTTTTCTTAGATGGAAGTTTGAGTACAGTAGAAACTTTAGCTTCTACGGCTATATGTGGCATCATACACTCAATACTCGGTGGACAACCTCTTTTAATATTAGGAGTTGCAGAACCCACTGTCATCATGTACACATATTTGTACAACTTTGCTAAAGGAAGGAATGACTTGGGACGGGAATTGTTCTTGGCATGGGCTGGATGGTACTGTAAAATCTACTTTTCCATTTTTTTAAACTTGGGTATTTTTTTCGTCATGATGTTTCACTATGTTTGATGTTTTTACTGTAAATTTTTACAGGGTTTGTGTGTGGACAGCTCTGATGTTGTTCCTTCTTGCGATATTCAATGCTTGCACTGTCATCAATAGATTTACAAGGATTGCAGGGGAACTATTTGGCATGTTGATTGCTGTTCTTTTCATGCAAGAGGCTATCAAGGTATTGTAATGTAGAAAAACAAATCAACTTGTTTATTCTTTGTGGCTTAACATAAATTTTTAAAGTTTTGACAAGTATATATGTGAATTTCAGGGATTGGTGAGTGAGTTTAAAACTCCTAAATCCGAAGACCCAACATTAGAGAAGTATCAATTCCAGTGGCTTTACACAAATGGACTATTGGGAATCATATTTTGTTTTGGCCTTCTCTACACTGCCTTGAGGAGTAGAAGGGCAAGGTCATGGAAATATGCCACAGGTTTGTGAAGAAGTTTCGAGTGACTTGAACTTTGTTATTACCATTGTTTGTATTTGGCTTGTTATGCAGAAATCGAATGGTTCTAATCACAAAACAGTAAAGAGAAACAAAACAAACACACAGAACACGAGATATATGTGGCTTGACAATGTATGTGCCTATCTCCACTATACGTGGTTTGGCATAAGATTTATTGTTTGCATTTGACCTTCTCACATTGAAACCCTAGCTAAAAAAATACAATAAATACCTCCAAAACTTCAGGTTGAGGCTGTTAGCTTCCGTAAAAGGCCCCTTACAGTAAAAATAAAAACACCTCACAACAGAATCTAAAGAATCTCTGTTATACAATGCAGGGTGGCTTAGAGGTTTCATCGCAGACTATGGAGTTCCTCTCATGGTCGTGGCATGGACAGTGCTGTCTTTTAGTGTACCAAGCAAAGTTCCATCTGGAGTTCCCAGAAGGCTCTTTAGCCCTCTCCCTTGGGAATCTGCATCTTTGCACCATTGGACTGTTATCAAGGTAAAGCTCTATATAGTCTTATGGTGTAGGCCTCCTTTAGTCTATTTCTTATCAAGATGTTAAACTACTATTTAGTTTAGTTCCAAACATTTTGGTACACTTAATCACTGTGCATACTCCAAAACTGCAGGATATGGCAAAAGTTCCTACCACTTACATCTTTGCTGCCATTATTCCAGCTGTCATGATAGCGGGGCTTTACTTCTTCGACCACAGCGTTGCTTCACAGATGGCACAACAAAAGGAGTTCAATCTCAAGAAACCTTCTGCTTACCATTATGACATCTTGTTGCTGGGATTCATGGTATATACAGTTGGACTAAATGTATTCCTAGCAATTGTTCGTATCTGTTTTTCCCAAAACTCATGTTCACTTCTGGTATTTTTGTTATCAGACTTTGCTTTGTGGACTGATTGGACTTCCTCCTTCAAATGGGGTCCTGCCACAGTCTCCTATGCACACCAAGAGCCTTGCTGTTCTCAAACAACAGGTAGAATAAACGCTTTTTTATTTTTATTTTAATAGAGGATTTTCTCTTTGTTTAGTAATTGAGTGAGTTTGGATGTTTAAATAGTGTGTTACATTTGTAGTTGATTCGGAAGAAGATGGTTCAAAGTGCCAAGGAAAGCATCGAACAGCAGGCTAGCAACTCTGAAATCTATGGCAAGATGCAAGCTGTGTTCATAGAAATGGACAGCTCTCCAATTGTAAGTTTTCCCACTTAGTACATGGTTACTTGTGCCTTTGAACATTTTCTGTTATAGGATTTGTAGACTTTTGATTGTCGTCTTCAAGCCATTGTAACAAATCTCTCGCAAAATTTCAAGAAGTTACTCTCAAGTTTTCTCATTGTGTGTGCACATACATAGCTTTTCTTTTTCTTTTTGGCACATCAGTGCACAATAGTTGATTTTGTTACTCCTACTCAATAATTATTGATGAGTTCCCAACTCCCATTTTATAATGGTATTGTGCCAATTTTGCAGACTACTGTAGTTAAAGAGCTGGAAGACTTGAAAGAGGCAGTTATGGAAAGCAAAAACAAAGGAGTGAATGAAAAGGGTACTTTTGATCCTGAGAAGCACATTGATGCCTATTTGCCTGTCCGTGTTAATGAGCAGAGAGTGAGCAATCTTTTACAGTCACTCCTCGTGGCTGCTTCAGTTTGCGCTATGCCCCTAATAAAGAAAATTCCTACTTCGGTTCTTTGGGGATATTTTGCTTACATGGCCATCGACAGCCTACCCGGAAACCAATTCTGGGAAAGGATTTTACTTCTCTTTATTACTCCAAAGCGACGATACAAGTAAGTTTGTTGAAATCAATGAATCAAATATTATAATCATGGATTTTGAGAAGTTTGACACGATTGTACATTCTATATGAAAGTACATGCACTAGTGGCATGTACAATTTTTTTAAACCATTTTAATGCACAGGTAAATAAAAGCTACAATAACTTCTTGAAATCGTAGAACTCAATGGTGTTTCATATATTGACATGAACAACAAATGGGCTCATAATATTTATGTTTTTTTCAATGGCTTGAATTGCCAATGATTTTTCTGTTTTCTAACACGGGTTTGAAACTCTACGTATGTTGGCAGGGTCCTGGAAGGGGTTCATGCTTCATTTGTGGAATCAGTACCATTCAGGAACATAGTCATATTCACTCTCTTTCAGTTAGTATATTTTTTGCTATGCTTTGGAGTGACATGGATACCAATAGCTGGCATACTCTTCCTTCCCGTGCCATTCTTCCTTCTCATAAGCATAAGACAACACATTCTCCCCAAGCTGTTTAATACAAATCACTTGCGGGAATTGGATGCAGCTGAGTATGAGGAAATTGCTGGCGCCCCACAACCTTCTCCCAACCTTTCTTTCAAGGTATTATAAATTGCTGCTTGTAGGGTTTTTTTTTTTTTTTGGGTATAGCTTATGTGGTGAAAATAGATGAAATAAGTTGAAACAGTTGTACGTCTTCTTTGCTTTGGTTGATCCATTCTATTCTTGCTATTAATCTGCTACTTTCACAATATTTGATTAGGAAAAGGAAATGCCTTGTCTTGGAAATGAGGAACGTGAAGTGGAAATTTGTGATGCGGAGATATTAGATGAGCTGACAACAAGAAGAGGAGAGTTGAGGCTCAGAACTGTAAGCTTTAAGCAAGACAAACATGGACAGGTAATAGAATACATATCACTGTTTTTCTTCTCTAATTACCATGAACTAACAAGGATTGAACACTTCTAAGAAGGTGCCACATCCATGTTGGATACCTAACTCGTGTCATACACGCATATGTCCTATTTTTTATTTTACAGTTTTCCAGAACTGGACACGTTTCTAACAATTGGAGGACACACGTGTGTGCCACGGCAAGTCCAAAGAAAAGCACTTGAAGCCAATGATTGCAATCAAAACAATGCTAATTTATACATTTAAATCTCTCATTCTTTAGGGTTTTTTTTTTTTTTTTAATATATATTTATTTTAGGACCTCTGAAGCTAAAACTTTCAAAACTTTTGTGTGGGTGAGTGTTTTTGTTTTTTTTTTATAATTTAAATTGACATGTTTTTGTGTGTTGTATCGTATCACCAGTGTCCATGTCCATGCTTATGTGGTGAAAATAGATTAAATAAGTTGAAATAGTTGTACATCTTCTTTGCTTTGGTTGACCCACTCTATTCTTGCTATTAATCTGCTACTTTTACAATATTTGATCAGGAAAAGGAAATGGCTCGTCTTGGAAATGAGGAATGTGAAGTGGAAATTTGTGATGCGGAGATATTAGATGAGCTGACAACAAGAAGAGGAGAGTTGAGGCTCAGAACTGTAAGCTTTAAGGAAGACAAACATGGACAGGTAATTGAATACATATCACTGTTTTTCCTCTCTAATTACCATGAACTAACAAGGATTGAAGACTTCTAAGAAGGTGCCACATCCATGTTGGATACCTAACACGTGTCATACAAGCATATGTCCTATTTTTTATTTTACAGTTTTCCAGAACTGGACACGTTTCTAACAGTTGGAGGACACACATATGTGTGTCACGGCAAGTCCAAAGAAAATCACTTGAAGCCAATGATTAAATCAAAACAATGCTAATTTATACATATAAATCTCTCATTCTTTAAGGTTTTTTTTTTTTATATTTTATTTTAGGACCTCTGAAGCTAAAACTTTCAAAACTTTTGTGTGTGGGTGAGTGTTTTTTTGTTTTGTTTTATTTTTATAATTTAAATTGACATGTTTTCGTGTGTTGTATCATATCACCAGTGTCCATGTCCATGCTTCTTATACAATGAATGATACACCAATGCACTTCTCATATACAATTTGATGCATTTCTATGGAAAGAATTTGATTATCCAACTATGTACTTATGAATGCATTAATCATGTGTGCATACATACAAAGCTATTAATTTAAGGGTGAGATTTATCTTATGTTTTTGCAGGTTCATCCTGAAGATTGAGGCTATTATGGAAATAGATTTGGCACGATTAGAATGGAATGTTGACAATTTGATGATGACAACAACAATTATATAACCTACTTTTGTTTTGACAAAAAAATCTGTCTACCGGGTGTAATCTTTTGCTTGGTTCATTGTTAATGAGAATAGGATAGAGGGGAAGTGTAAATTCAAAGAGAAAAACTGGAGAGGAATGCAAGAGAAAGGCTGCTAATTAAGAACAAGTCAATGGGGGTTGATTTATGGGTAAAGAGGTTTATCCATAATTGTGCAATGCAAATTAGCCTTAAAAAAGACCACAAATATGGGACAAATTCTCAGCATGTACAGTGTCATCTCCAAAAGATTTATTAATGAAATACATGATAGATATATGTCTTGCTATCAAATATTGATGGAATTTTTGAGTGTATAGTTTATCATCTTTCTGGACACAACACTTGGTGTAACCATGTATATATATATATATAAAGATGGTGTTGGTTTTGTAGGGCATATTGGATTTTCTGAGATTACCATTTCAAGTACCTTGTAAAAAAGTGAGGCTGTAATGTTATAGTCTTGTTAAATCTCTGAGACAGCTCTAGCCCTAAAAATAGTGAACATTACACTTTATAAAAAATAGGATCGCGCAAACCGTTCAAGTGCACATTTTACCACTTGAATGGTGTGATTAAAGGCAGTGTGAAATATATAGATTGATCGCTTGAGCGACACTATATCGCTCGAGCGAACTTATTAAAACGCGTGTCCATCGCTTGAGCCAAGACTCCACCGCTCAAGTGCAAATAAGATGCTCTCAGAAGATTGGCCGCTTTGTAAAAGTACTGGATGATGCCATTTACCACTTGAGCGTACAAATGATTGCTCGAGTAGTCAAATAACTTCGATTGCAATTTTTTTGCTTTGAGGGCAGCGAAGTGACAAACACGAAAGGATTAGGATCACAAACTCCTTTGCATAAGCACAATTTGGGTTAGATTCGCATCTAAACACTCATAGTTTCATTATAATAAAAGAGCAAATAAAATTACAACTGAAAGGAGTTTTGTCAAACGGGATTGTCAATTATAAAAATCTAACACAATCGCACATTTTTTGTAACATTCCTTACCGCTTACTCACATATCCAAATTCAGTGAAACTAAACGAATTCATACACCAAAAAAGCATAAAAATTGTTGTCAGTTACTTTGTTCAAATCGAAATTGGGTTAAAGTAATTATTTTATTATGAGGGTGTAATCTCTTCTATACATGTGGTTTCCGTCTCTCATATACCAAATAATGCTTTTGTTTTTATTTTTTTTGAAAATTAAAAATGAAAACGTGTTTGCTAAATTATTTGTCTTCAAAAAAGTGAAATTAATTTCAAAAATTTTAAATTTTTTTGACATAGGAACAAAAATTGTTTTAAAACAATTTAAACTTTTTCTTGTCCCCCATCACCTCCGGCCACCATCCACTACCGCCACCAGCCACCTCAGATCTTCAACACTGCTAGCTGACTGCTAGTGAGCTCTGACCACCTTCCATGGGCTTAGCTATGAGCTTGTAGGGAGTCCACAGTTTCCATATAATCCAGGCCACCCTCAAAATGATTGAAATTGAGCTTCTTAGCCTCCACTACTAAGCCTTTTGGTGCTACTGAAATGAAATTGAAATTGAAATTGAAATAAGCAAATTTTTATTCAATTTCATTTTTTAGCAATATCCATTTTTTGTTTTTTAAAAATTAGAAAGTAGTTTTAAAAAAATAAATATCATTCTGTTGAGTCGGAGTCAAAAAGTGAGTTGATAATTTATTCGGTGACTCCATTGGGTATTTTAGTATTTTTGGGTATTGACTAGGAATGAAAAGGGGCACATATGGGTCGGGACCCTTTATTAGATATCTTTCCCTTACTCACCCCACCCCTGCTTAGTATAATCCCACCCTCGATCAATATTGAATTTTAATAATGCGCTTTATAATTTTAGATGACAAATGACTTGAAACAATTGATGTTGTTTGACATTAATCTTAGTAAAATTGCAGAATAAATGGATAAAGAAGTATAAATCAAGACAACATAAAATAGAAGGGAAATTTTTTTAAAGTTAATTTTATATCATTAAAAAATAATGAAAAATATGTTAAAAAATAAGAATTTTTTTTAATAATACACATAATTGGGTTGGATGTAGGGGTGGGATTGCCCTTCCCATACCTGACCCAAATTTTGTCGAGTTTTATACTCACTTCTAAACCTGACCCTACCCTATTGAAATATCCCAAACTTAATTTAGGGATAAGCACTCTTTCATATTTTTGTCTCTCCATACTTTTTTGTAAGTCCCAATTTGGACTTGCGCCGATGATTCGAATCATTTATGTTGTAAGTTTCGTAATAAAGGTCATCTATGTAACAATGAGCATCATAAAAAAGTTATAAATTTAAGAAAAAAATCACATTTTGTTTTATAAAATAAACAACAAATGTGATTGTAAACTTAAACCATCCATTTTATAAAAGGGTACTCAGATGAAAAACCCAAATTTAATTTCCTATGGCCAAAGATCCACTCATTAAACTTTTGGGGGACTTATGGGCCGGTCATTCGGATCAGACTTAATTCCTTTGAGGTCCGGACTCAAAAAGATTTAGCATATCTTCCCATTTTATCCTTGACATTCAGTCCAAACAAAGAAATCAATCAGCCATTCTACTCTCTCTTTCTGTCACAACTGTTAGAATCTCTCTCTCTTACATAGCCACCGAAGACCACTTCTGACTGTCGGCGATCATCATTGACCTCCGATGACTCCTTTGGCCTTCATCTTTGATTGCCAACAGCCATTACTGTCCTCCAGCAACTACCTCCAACCTTTGACAATATATATATATATATATATTTTGTGTGGTCATTTTCCATCTCCATCATGTCAATACCACCAGTACCTCCTCAAATAAGGTGGCAACAAGAGAAAAAGAAGAGGATAGGGATGAAGAAAATGAAGGAGAAAGATAAGGAGTCCTTACCAAAAAATAATTCTTCATATTCGTAGATTAACACAAAGAATCAAAGACAAATCTAGTAAAAAAATTTGTGATTGATACATTTAGTGATGAATTTAACCACTGTCTGTTTGTTAAAAATTACAAAATCTCATTATCATCGTCATAAATCAGCACAAGATTCAAATACATATTTAGTGATAAATTTATCACTGATTGTTTGTTAAAAAATTACAAAAGAAAATCTCGTCATCATTGTCACAAATCAACACAAGATTCATAGACATATTCAATATTAAATTTATCACTGATAGACACATTCATTGATAAATTTCTCACTAACTGTTTGTAAAAAAAAAGGAAAAATTATGCAAATAGTCCCTGTAGTTTACACGATGTGTCAATTTGGTCCTATAGTTTCAATATGCTCGATTTTGCTCCTTAATTTAACGGATTGTGTCATTTTAGCCCAATAAGTAACAGTTTTTAAGTTAATTTAACAGAAAGTCAAATAATGTGTCAATTTAGTCTTTGTCAAAATCGAGAAAATTGAAACTATAGGGACCAAATTAACACATTGTTTGACCTTCCATTAAATTAACTTAGCAATCATTATTTATTGGACTAAAATGACACAATCCAGTATATTAAAAGGCACAATCGAGCAAATTGAAACTATAGCGACCAAATTGACACATACTGTAAACTACAGGGATTATTTGTATAATTTACCCTAAAAAAATTATAAAAAGAAATCTCATCATCATCGTCACAAATCAACACAAAGATTCAAAGACATATTCAGTGATAAATTTATTACTAATAGACACATTCACATAAATTTCTTACTGACTGTTTATTAAAAAATTACTAAAAGAAAATCTCATAATCATTGTAACAAATCAACACAAGATTCAAAGACATATATCAGTGATAAATTTATCACTGATATATTAAACCCTTGTTTGCAACAGATTTGGTTTAAGAGAAATAAAGAAAGAGGGAAGGAGGGAGAGAGAGGCGAGATTTAGAGAATCAATGTTGCTTGTAGTTGTTTAAAGTTGATTTCATAGTAGAAACAACTAAATCGATGTAGATCTAAGACATTGGAGTATAGATCGGTAATGACATAGTGTAAATCGGCGATGGCAGAGGTGGTTGGTAAATAGTGGCTGTGAATCAGAGATAGTGAAGTGTAGATTGGCGACGGTAGAGATGGTTGGTGAACGATGGTAGTGGTAGTGGTCGACGAAGGTGGCCGTGGTCAGTGAAAGTGGCGACAGATGACGGTGGTGGTGGGTGGATGTCCATAGCCATGGCAATGGTGGTGGTATTTTCTAGAGAGAGAGAGAGAGAGAGAGAGAGAGAAAAGAAGGGTTCTGGAAAATTGATCAAGAGAGAAGTTAATAAAAATTAAGAAAATTAGTGAGTAATAAATTCAATGAGGGTATTATAGGCAACTAAGGACTTAATAGTACATAAAAATAAAAGTCAGGACCTAACAGGTAATAAGTCTAAAAAGGGAAACGGGCTGTTAAATTCCCTAAACTTTTTTGTCCATAAGGACACAACTCGGGAAATTCTATTTCCACACATTCACTTACCTCTATATACACACTTAATGAAATTTTATTTTAATGATAATTGTGCCCTAAAATAAAATTACTACAATGAACATCAAAACATACCCACAACATTATATCAAAATTTTCTCTGTACACATATTTAAAAAAAAAAAAAAATCTCAATGCACTATGATTTCATCTGAAAATGTTTCTGGCAGCTCATGAAGACGGCATCGAGCAATAGTGCTACGATGATGGATGTGCTGAAAACTGTAGGGAGGGGAAGAAATAAAGTAAAGAAGAAACTCGTGATTGACCTTCAGAAAGGTTTCTCGAGTTTGCATCAGATCAATTGAAAATGGATGGCATAGCTTCATTTGTAGTTTCTCAATCATCTTGTATGTAGTGCTGGCTTCTGTATTATCTGAACACTGTCAAAGACAACTTTCCAAAGAAAAACTTTTAACTTTACTCCTTACAAGCAGAAACCTTTTTCCAAATGAACAATATTCATTTTGAACAATATTCAGGAACTTTCCGACAAAATTGTATATACAAAGATCAGCCTTGGTGGTGAAGGAGCTCATGGTGAAACAAAGATTCTTAATGGTGGAGAAGTTTAGGGGCTGTTTGGCATACCCATTGAAGGCATTAATCAGTTTGGAAACTCTTTGGTAGCAAAGAAATTAAAGTTATTGAGAAGAAGAAGAAGAAGAAGAAGAAATGATGGGAAAAAGGAGTAAACGTGTATAGAACAAGGATTTAGATAGTGTGTACAAAGAATACGAGTTAGGGTATAACTGGAATATCAAACGTGTGAAATGAGAAAAACAATCA